TTCGAATTGTGAGAAATTCAAAGATATAAAAAAAAAAATTTTAAAATAAAGTCAATCGAAAGAATATCTGTATACCATAATGAAAATTATAGTAAATCTATTTAGTTTTTTTTTATAACACCCACCACTGTAAGATGGAGGTATACTTGTTTTTGTTTTTCCCATAGCGCATGTAACATCCAAAAAGAAGCTTCAAACAAGCTATAAAGCATATATATTCTTGATCAGCGTAAAATTCTGAGTTGATTTAGCCATGTCTATCCGTCTGTTTGGCTGTGTGATGTGCGTCGTTGGCAATCTCCTGGTCGCAAACCTTGCTTTAAATTTAGGAGTGATGAGATAAAGTGACTACGTCATGGAACCCAAACAATTTAGTCAGTTCGGAAAAAATATCTGATATAAAGGGTCACATCAAATTGCTAAGTAAAAAAAAGTAACTTTAAAAAATCTCAAAATAGGTTTTTATCTCTTAAAGGAACTTCAAACTCTAACTTCCCTCTTTAAAATTTTCAGATTGATATTAGTGGCCTTAATGAGATCAATGTTATAAACTCTGGAAATGCATAAGTTAAGTGGCAAAGCAAGAGGCTTGTGATCGATAAGTATGTTGAGTTCCGACCTTCTACTAAACAAATCAAAGGTCGGCACAAAGGTCGGCATAGCGAATTCAAATGAAAACATATGAAATTGTTTACGCTATATTTTTTTCTGCACCTTCGAATTGAATTGTAATGAAATAGAAAATTAAAGGATAAAGCTGCTTTAAGACATTTTGCGAAATATTTTGCAAATTCCGCTTGTTTTTTTTTTTTTTACTTTAAAATTCGTCCGAGTTGAAACTATTAATTAAACAGCTTCTAGTTTATCATGATGCTATTGCAGTTACGTTCAGCTTAAAGTTCATGCTTTCATTTCAGCATTTTCTTACATGTCGATCTCTTCTGAGTTCTTATCATACATTTAATAGAGTTCCTTCTGTTTTGGATTCCTTAATACATCAGTCCTGTTAAGTAGTAGTTAGTATAAACTTATGCTTGGATTTGGAAGTTTGCTACTCCGTCCAAATTAGGAAACGTAAGATAATTTTTGTCGAAAATTCATGAATGTTTCTATAACGGTTCTCAAGGTACGCCGTTCAAAAGAGAGCTAGTCAACTAAAAGATACACAATTTTTTTATGTTTAATTAAAAATGTTGTAAAATGAATTAATTATTTTTGATATAAACAAAAATTTAATTTTATTTTATACTACGCAAGTAAATAAAGTAATTAAAATTTATTCTTAAAAAGTATATCGCAACTTTCGTTAAGGAACGCGTTTAACGCGAAAATTTTCAAATTTTATAACAAATTGTTCGTAAAAGTCACCATGCGCTTGAGGCTCCACCTCAAATTTCAGCAAACGCTTCTCGTTAGGGCCAAGATCAAAGATGTACCTCAGCTAAAATTACGTATGAAATCTCCCATGCGACGGTTTATCACTCTAATCGACACATTCTACGATAACCATATACGTGTCGTTATTTCGGCTGATGTATCGCTAGATAAACTATTTATGGCCTTTGCACAACATTTTTTCTCCTTCTCTTCCTCGGGAGCATCGTCGTCGGATTTAGGCAAAAATGCTGTATCTTCTTGCATACCTGCATTTTTGGCCTCATCAACATTTAATACGGTATTGGGTTTCTCCTGAGGCAGAATGGGACAAATGCGCAAAGCTACTTGCAAAGGTATTTCCATTGTGAAGGGACCTAATTCTAATTTATTGATTAAGGAGGAACAAAAATATTGCCATTTTCAAGAATAGCAAAAAATTTTATTTTTGAATAGATTTTATCGCAAGCGTTTTTACCAAAGAAAAATTATAAGAATTTCTCAATTTTCTACGGTTTCCAATTAGTTATGTTGCTGCTGAAATGAGTACCCTGTTATCGCAAGAGATGTAAATCAAAGTGGTAAAAACAGGGAAAGTGATTTCTGTGCTACAATGGCCTTGCCTTTTTAATTTTATCAAATTGGTTGCGCCTGCAATTGGCGAGAAACTGAAAATCTATTTCATTTTCGGCGAAAAAATAAAAAGTAGTAATTTAGATGCACTACAGATTCATATTTTATTATGGCAGATTTGTATTTGGCAGATGATCAACGCGTACTAATGGATGATTTAAAAATCTCGTTGGGCTTGGTAACTAATATACCTTTCAAAAGAGTTAAGTTGCTTTAATTGTTCTTATATTTAATTTATTATTAGAGAACGATGCCGCCGTAAACGTTTTCACTGGCGAAGAAGAGTTTTTTGCTTTCGATCGTACCATTTCTTGTCTTTATGAAATGCAAAGCAAGGTCTAATGGAAAAAATGGGCAAAGCCCCATTGATACAAGCGCAACATATTTATCTGTGTTCAAATTTTAGTGAAAATTTTTCGATAAAGTACTTAGCAAAAAAAAAAAAAGAAACGAAAATGCAAATTCTTGTTATTAATGAAGCATAAGAAAGAATTTATTAAATGAATATTTTTCTTATTGAAATCGCCAAATTTATAAGAAGCAATTGTATATAGCAGACTTCCCCGTAAATACGCACTTGAAAAATATCCCTCTACATGGATAAATGCATCGATCTTAGCAAGCCCTTTGGCAAAATCGACCGGAACAAGAACCTACGACAAAAAGGAAGAAGAACAAGCAAACTACATCAAAAAGGAAGAAGAACAAGCAACCTACACATAAAAAAAGGAAGAACAAGCAACCTACACTAAAAAGGAAGAAGAACAAGCAACCAACACCAAAAACGAAAAAGAACAAGCAACCCACACCAAGAAGGAACAACAACAAGTAACCTACACCAAAAAGGAACAAGAACAAGCAACCCACAACAAAAAAATAAACGTTTGATTTTCTCAAATTTATATATTAGTTTGGGGAATAAGAAATCCATTATTTTTATATAAACTTCAGGACTTTATTTAACATGCTTCGGATTGTCCGATTTGGGTCAAATATGCACCGTTTTGTTGTATGATTTGTTGCCATTTTAAAGGTAACTTCAAAATGCCTATCTCATAGAAGTCCTGGTATCTATTTGCAAAAAACTCTAGTAGTCGATTTTCACAATCCTCCCTAGATTCCAATTTTTTATCATTAAAGAAATTTTGCAATGCAAGAAAAAGATGATAATCGCTTGTTGGCAAGTCCGGACTGTATGGCGGATGCAGTAAAACTTCCCAACCAAGCTCCCGAAGTTTCTGGCGAGTCACTGTAGATGTGTGTGGCCTAGCGTTGTCCTGGTGGAACACGACACCTCTCCTGTTGGCCAATTCTGGCCGTTTCTGGTCAATCGCTATCTTCAAACGGTCCAGTTGTTGACAGTAGAGATCAGAATTTAGCGTTTGGTCATATGGAAGCAACACATAAAAAATAATCCCCTTCCAGTCCCACCAAATGCATAGCAAAACCTTCCTGGCCGTTTGAGGTGCTTCACCGCTCTTTGACCACGATCGTTTTCGCACAGGGTTATCGTATGTGATCCATTTCTCATCTCCAGTCACCATCCGTTTAAGAAATGGGTCTATCTCATTCCGTTTGGCCAAGGCTTCGCAGATAGAAATTCGATCCATCATGTTTTTTTCTGTTAATTGGCGTGGCACCCAAACATCGAGCTTCTTTTTGAATCCAGCTTTGTGTAAATGGTTTAAAACTGTTTTATGGTCGATTTTTAGCTCCTGGGCGATGTTACAACTGCTAACATGCCGGTCAACTTCGATCATTTCTCCGATTTTATCGACATTTTCGACGACCGGCCTACCTGTGCGAGGTGCATCTTTAACATCAAAAATTCCTGAACGGAATCTACGAAACCAACATTGCACATAATTGGCTGTTAGAGTATCGGAACCATAAACACCATTCACAATTTTAGCCGCCTGGCATGCATTTTCGCCTTTGTCAAAGAAAAACTGTAAAATGTACCGAATTTTCTCTTTGTTCACTTCCATTTTTAACACGCTGTAACTCACAACTGAATGCACTAAACAAAAAACAGCAAAAGAATTTTTTTTACTGCGAAATGTCACCTTTCCAACGAGCATAAATCTGAAATTATTTGATCGATACTTTACGAGAAATCTATCAGTGCAGCCATCTACCGAAAAAATAATGGATTTCTTTTTCCCCAAACTAATATATATTTATTTATATCTAGTGAAATAGGACGAGAGCAAATGAATTTCATAAATTATATCATGTGAATAGACCGGTCCTCCTTGTTTATGTTGCTTTGCGGTTTGTACAACAACGTTAGCCTCTGCAGGTGGTTTAGGAAAAGCCTGCCAGTAGACGGCTTTAAGCCCAATATCATAACAAGATGCTGTAAGGTTTGCAAAACAATGTGCCATGAAGAATACTGCCATTGCTATGAGCCAACACTAAAATAGCGGACATGTGTCCCTCGAGTTCTATTTTTTCATGTACGTACTTTTCCGATTTCTTGCTTAATCTGAAATAAAGAATAATGTGTTGGAAGGAAATCTTATACAATCTGTCTTTGAATATGGGCACGATTTTTTCTTGCTGTTGGTTCTTTATACGAACCTGCCTAAAATAACAGAAAAATGGTAACGCGTTCCGTTCAACATGTGAATCGAACGTTATCGTTAACATTATTCAATATTGCTTCATATCGAGCAATCAATTAGAACAAAAAATTATAGTAAAATTCGCCAAACCTTTCAAATAAGTAATAAATAAAATAATTTCTGTACAGTTGCTGTGTTCCATGTCAATCAGTTGTAATTAATATATTATGAACAACATCAGCATAAGAAATGATGACGTGCAAAAAAGACTTATGGGTTAAACATATGTGCAATTTTTTATAAAGTTTGCTTTTATAAAGGCTTATTGCGTTGTAGCATTTAAATATATATTATTTTGCACAAGGTTTCGCGATAAAAACTTGTATGTCCTTAACGTTCAGAATTTTGACCAGAGTAAACAACATTATGCAAGAACAAGCCTGGCAATGATTGTAATGAAAGAAATCTATCTTAAAATCAAAAGTAAAGCAGTGATACCGAGATTGGAACTTTAGTGTAATATTGATTTGAATTAAACAATTTCGTGGCTGGAATAATGTTTTCAGTTTTTCATGCTGCAACAAAAATGCAAGCAACCAAAGTATAGTATTGGGCACGTTAGTCTTATCGGCAACCGGCCTAATTTATCCAACGAGGCAGAAAAAAAATCGGTATTTTACCTCTTTCACTTACTTCTATATTTATTTGTTAATTTTTAAAAGCAAACAAAAATCTCTATAATAGAAGAATTTCATATCAACAAATACAACAATCTATCTATGGTTCTAAAAGTATTGGATTGGTGTCGGCCGCAGATTTCCTCAAATCCAGCAGCAAAAGTAATGAGGGTCGAAAAAGCAGTTAAGGGGCTTCTATGATTAGCGCATGTATAGGCTGAATAATATACTAAATGGAAAGCTATTATTTTATGTAGAGAAATGTCAAAAAAATCGAATTTAACCGTTGTGTCCATTGGCCCTTCGTATTACTTTATCATTTTCATAAGTAGACGTCGCTGATCAAAATATATGCAAGCACCTGTTATATACAAATGCTTTTAGCAACTCTTAGCAAGAAAGAAAAAGAAAAATAAATACAATAATTGAAAAATCAAATTAAAAAACAAACATTATTTCAACCATAATAAGAAAAATTAATAAAAACCGTTGGAAATAGAAAGCATTAATTCCGCTGCATAAATCCCAAAACACCACCGCAGTTTGGCAACTCTGGGTGCGTGTTGCAGTAGCGTTTTAATTCTATGCATGAATTTCAATTTTCAGTGTATTTCTTAGCTTTTTGGCTTTATTATTAAATTATAAAGCTCCTTTTCTTGTTTTCACGGGACTTGGATTGTTTATTTACACCATGTCGTGTGAAAACAAGCCCTGAATCTGAACGATTCATCTCGTGTTGGCTGTGTGATCGTTTTGTACATACAAAGTGTTCTGGTGTTATCGGCCGTACCCTTCTAAAGGTTCACGATGGTCATGTCCTGACTGCAGAAAGCGGGACATTGATTTCTACAAACTCTTCACGGAGACGAGAAATTGTTTCTCAGATTTGAGCAAAAATTTCGGCTCCTTGTGGGAGAAATTTGAAATAATCCAGACTAGGTTTGATGAGTGTCGTTATATTGCGCAGTCATCTTCCTCTCCAGCTAACAAAGTTTCAACTCGTGGTTCGTCACCTCTGAGTTCTCCTAAGTCCGTTTCAACGGTGCAAATTAGCGATTCCGTAAAGTCTACAAAGACTGTTAGCGTTTCTGCTACTGCTGAGTCCGTCGATAACATAAAAGTTACAAATAAGCCGGGAAGTTGTTCTGGTTCGAGCTATGCTGAAGTGGGAAGGGTATCGCCTCCCAATGGCGTCACTCAATCTTTTCAGGCGTCATCGCCTAAAACTAATAGTGAGAACAGTAAATCGCCCTCTTCCCCTTGCTGTTCGAGTGTGGACGCTGGTCGCCAAACTGGGCACGTCACACAAGCTGCTCGTGCAAGTGTGGTTACACCTTATTTTCCCCAACCCATAACTCCCCATCCGCTCCGCTGCTCCTAAAACAGATGACATACGCTTGAAGCCAGTTCCTCCCAGAAAGGCAATGCTTATGTCAAGACTGGCATCTGATACATCTGCGGATAACATAAAAAGTTGTCTGGCGGCGAAAGTCCCATCTGTCAATT